CACTGAGCCCAGTGTCCTCCTCCCTTCCTTGTCCCCTCCACAGCATCCTGTCCCTTCCCTGGCATCAGGAAGGGACATCAGAGACACTGCCCTGCAGACTCTGATGACCACTCAGAGGTGGGCCGGGCTGCTGGAACCTTTCCTGGACCACAGCCTGCTCTCTCTCTCAATAAAGTGCACAAGCATCAGGCTCTAGGCCGAGTGTCCTGTCTTGTGGGTGAGGCCAAGTGAATCAGTGGGTGGAGCCGCCCTGTGGGGGCGGGAATGGGAGGCTGGGATGGCAGCTTGCTATCTGGGATTACCTGCTGAGCAGACTCTGGGGAGGTGGGTCTCCTGGTTTGGGAAGGAGGAGTTTCCTGATGGGTCTGGGACTATGAGATGGGTGCTCTCCCAGGAATGGACCACTCTGATTCTACAATTGTCTCCTTACCTCCTCCCTCTTCATGTCTGAAGCAGATTCAGCCCCTCTCCCGTAAAGCTCTTTGCACATCTGGGAAACAGGGACCTGAACCAAAGATTTAAAAGTGTGTGTAAGTGGGCCTACCAAAAGTAGCAACCAGCACTTTTCTTCCTGCCCGGTGCACCGGACCCTGGGCGGCATCTGGGCAGAAGGAAATCCATGTCATATACGGATGAAAAGTCCTTCGGACCCAGCCCAAAGCTCAATCGCTGACTTCACTTTGGACTACTCCTCATCCAGGCAGATCTGCACAGGCCGTGGGCAGCTCCAACTGAACAATTCTCAGGGCATGGGACAGTTTTCTGCTCCTGGTACCTCATCATGGAGCCCTGGTAGTGCTGTGGGTTAGGCATTGGGCTGCAAACTGAAAGTCAGTGGTTCAAACCCACCAGTCACTCTAAGGGAGAAAGATGAGCTGTCCGCTCCTATGAAGATTTACAGTCTCACAAACCCTACACAGGGTCACTATGAGTTGGAACCGGCCGAACGGCAGTGGGTTTTTTGTTTGTTTGTTTGTTCTCAGGTGTCCATAGAAGATACGGAAGGGACAGAAGCGATCCCTGACTGTGGAGTTGGCGCCCTCTGCTGGAGGAAGACCTAGTTGCATCTCCTTCCCTTAAGGCCCTCCTTCCTCTGAAACACACATGCTCTTTGCAGACTGAGATGAGGCTGCACTTGGTTTTGGAAGCTCCTGTCCTACAGGCGGCAAGGCTTCTCAATGAAACATCCAGTTCTGGGGACCCTGGGAAGTAGAAATCAGTGTGAAGCCCCTCTCCTTCTGAGGACGGGGTGGTCCTGTCCCTGTGAGTTTAGGGTCCCTGGGGATGGTCAGTGCCTGGCTAGGGTTTGGAGTCTTACAGCACCAACTCTGCCCGATGGGCTCAGGGGGAACAGAGGCTCTGGGAACTGACATAACACTGTACTGTGGATATCGAGGTTGGGGAGGGACTGTGAACGTCTCCGTCTCCTTTCGTGGGCTCTGAGAGAACCCCCACTGTCTCCGTGATTTACAGATGAGGTTCTGTCTAGGCTTCACTCCTGCCGGAAGGGGAAATCCACCCCAGTGCAGTGACAGGTCCTGGACCAGACCCTGTTCAGGCCCAAGCATCTCTGCCCCGAACATCTCTGCACCTGGCCACCCTCCTGGCCCTTCCTCCTTCCCCTCCCCCCCATATACTGCGAAGTGGCAGTACAAAGACCTACTTCCTGTTCACCCCAGACCCCTTCTCCAGTGATGGGACAATCTCTCTGCTCTATATCCCTGTGTGGTCACAGCTCCCCACACCTGCGGGCAGTCTGTCCTGAAATCTCAAGTGTCTTAGAGTTTCAGGAAAGAGGGAGGAGGGCTGGAGTCTGTGCTTTGACCCTGAGGTATCCCCAAAGCTTGAGAACTGGGGTCCTTAGAAAGGTGGAGGGGAGAGGAGGGCAGACCTCAAAGAGCTTTTCTTGGTCAGAAAGAACA